TTGCATTTAAAATGTGACTTCTTTGTGAGTCGCAGTGTGCCCTTTGCTCAGTGTTGATGTGTGTTCAGCCTTTCCTGTGATGATGTTGACACAGCTGTCTGGTCCAGGCACTTTACATACACTGTCTCCATTGACAGTTTCTCTTCTTCCCTACAAGGTGGATATAATGAATTTTATAGTAATAAACCAAAATCCAGAAAGGTTTACAAAAATCCAAGTATTTAGCAATGAACTGAGAAATTTTGGTCCAGATATTTCTGCCTTCAAAGCTTTTTAAGTTTAGCACCACTAATTGGCTCTTCTGGATAGTCCTGGGACCTAGGTAGTCATCATATGAATCATCAGTCATTTGTATGGAGTTTTTATTTTTTGTTGCAAGATATATAGTTCATTTGCAGTTCATAGTAACCTTCATTTTTGCTGCAAGATGGCCAGAGGAATTAGCTTGCTGTGCCTGTGAAAATAGAACCCATCCAAGACTATCAAGGCAAGCTGCACCCTGCACTGAGCCACTAGAAATTGTGTTCCAACCATTGATCCCATATGAAAGCATTCAAGGGATAAATAAAAGGATGAGGGAATGAGAACTGGGTATTTGGAGATACATATGCCAGAGAAGGCATCCTTGCCTTGGTTGCCCTGGTCAGGGACATCCAGGATTAGAGGCTGCTCTTCCAGGTAAGAAGTACCAATGGAGTTTAGGAAGGGATCCAGATGGCCCAGAGGAGAAGCCCAAGCACACAAATTGCCCAATATGATCTTCAGCCAGAAGAGTGAGCACAGATTAATCCATCCCAAGACCACTGACCATAATGAGGCCAAGCCCTGCCTCATCATCACTGCCTTTCCTTGCCTGGCCATCAGGCCCTCCTGCACAGCAGCTCCCATCTCTTCTCATGAACCTCTCTCCAATCTTCTTCTGGCCAGAACAGAATAGGCAGGGGAGGGACCTCAATAGGGGAAAAGATCAAAAGGAAAATTTTAGAGGAGCCCTCAGATCATGTATTCAGGTCTTATAAGTAAGCCACTGTTAGGCCTTTTATTTTACTTTATTTTATTTTATTTAATATTTTACTTTTTAGTTGTAGTTGGACACTATACCTTTATTTATTTTTATGTGGTGCAGAGGATCGAACCCAGGGTCTCACACATGCTAGGTGAGCGCTCTACCACTGAGCTACAACCCCAGCCCCCAGGCCTTTGATTTTTTTATTCTGAATGAAATGAGAAGCCTTTGGAGGGTTTATATGGAGGAGAGAAATAGTCTGACCCAGATGATCAGCTTTCAATCACTATGACATAATACCCAAGATAAATAGCAACTAAAGGGAGGAAAGGTTTATTTTAGCTTATGGTTTCAGTTCATGATCAGTTCTATTGCTTTTGGACCTATGTGAAGCAGATAAAGGTGTATATAGTAAAGCAAAGCTGCTCTCCTCATGACAGCTAGGAAACAAAAGGAGATAGAAAGGAAGGGACTATGGTCCCAAAACTCCATTCAAGGGCACCCCCCAGTGACCTTCCTTCATTCCAATAGGCCCTACCTCCTAAAGGTTATACCACCTTCCAATAGGACCAAGGGCTGGGGACCAAGCCTTCAACACATGGGCCTTTGAGGGATATCCAGGATTCACATTCTGGTAAGTTTTAATAGAACCACCTTGGCTACCATGTTGTGAAGAAATTGAGGGAACAGAACAGAAGCAGGGGGGGATCAATTGACCATTGCTCTAATCTAGGCTAAAAACAGTAGTGACTTGGACAAGGAAGGTGGCAGTAAGGCTAATTAGATTCTAAATGTGTAGTTTGAAAGGCTAAGCCAATAGGATTTAATAATATTAAAAGTGGGATTGAGAGGTGACTCCAGCAATTTCAGCTAAGATGGGTAAGACTTGAGGAAAAGAGTATCAAGAAGCCCATTTTTAAAGTAGTTTTTGTGTTTATGTGTTGTGCCGGGGATTGAATCCAGGACCTTGTGCATGTGAGGCAAGCATTCTAACAACTGAGCTATAGCCCCAGCCTAAGAGCCCCATTTTAGATTCCACTCCTCTTACACAAGTTTGAGGCCAGCCTCAGCAACTTATCAAGACTCTATCTCAAAATAAAAGGGCTCTGGATGTGGCTCAGTGGTAAAGCAGGACCAACAAAAAAAGAAAAAGATTTTACCTCCTCTGCCTTGAATGTCTTTGGGAATGGCACTATTGACTATAGCCAATTCCCACATTACTTATAAACCCCAAGTAATCCTTCCAGTTATGTTTCCTGGCAGGCATCTAAGACTTTATGAATCCTCACTCTTGGCACTGTCCTGCCTCAGTGCCATTGCACACGTGGTGCTCCCTCTCTAGATGTCCTTTGCCCACCTGCTTCCTTTAAGATAATTCCAGTGTCACTCTTCCCTTTAGCCTTCTTGCTGTCTACACAGGGAGTTGCTGTTTGTCTCACCAAACCTTGAGCCTGTTTCTTCAAGAAGCCCAAGACTTTTTGAGAGAATTGGGGGTAGTAGGGTTTGAGTTGCCCACTGTGGGCATTGTCTGCCAAATAAATAATTAAATACCGTCATGTCTGCACCTAACCCAGATAGCTTACTGTGATTGTTAAACTTATGACTAGTCTGGACTGCTTTGGGCTTTGGCTTTCTCTCTCTCTCTCTCTCTCTCTCTCTCTCTCTCCCCCCTCCCTCCCTCCCTCCCTCCCTCCCTCTCTCTCTTTCTTTCTCCCTCTCTCCCCTCCTTCCCTCCCTCTCTCTCTCTCTTTCTTTCTCCCTTTCTCCCCTCCCTCCCTCCCTTCCTTCCTTCCTTCTTCCTTCCTCTTTCTTTCTTTCTTTCTCTCTTTCTCTCTCTTTCTTTCTCTCTTTCTTTCTTTTCTTTCTTTCCAGGGTCTTGTGCATGTGAGGCTTGAGGCAAGCACTCTGCCAACTGAGCTATATCCCAATTCCTCTGACTTTTTATTTTATTTTTATTTTTGAAGGTACAGGATTTTCCTTCTACTTGAACCCAACTCTAAGCTAGCGGAGCAACCCAGGTGTTAGTTAGGGTGTTAGTGTCTGGTTGGCTGTTCATACCTTCGTGAGTTTTCACCTTAAATCACTCATATAGAAGCTATGCAGCTCTCTGGGGTCCTTGTTTTGCCTCTATACTGGGGATTGAACCCAGGGGTACTGTACCACTGAGCTACATTCCAAGCCCTTTTTATTTTTGAGGGTCTCACTAAGTTGCTGAAGCTGGCCTTAAGCTTTTTATCCTCCTGCCTCAGCCTCCAAGTAGGCTGGAATTACAGGTGTGCATCACTCTACCCAACTACTTTGCTATCTTTGAGTGTTCCAACCACAGCAAACTTAAAATGGGTATGAGGTCAGAAAAACTGTTTTCATTTCCTTTCCCCTCTACTGGAAGTGAACAGTTTTTCTTTTTACCTCTCGAAGTTGACCAGTGGAAATTTTCAGAGAATAGTCTGCTGGACACTTAGGGCCCTCTCTGGAGTTATAACTGAGAATGCCACACCCATCCCCCAGAATATGGATTATCTTGACCCAAACAAAATGATCTAATAAAATTATAATGTCCATGATGTGTGTCTTCCCCTCAATCCCATCTGTATTATCAGGGTTCTCCAGAGAATCAGAACTAAGAACATACTGTGTGAGAGAGATTTATTTGAAGATAACTGGTGCAGACATATGCCTGTAATTTTCAGTGTCTCAAGAGGCTAAGGCAGGAGGATTGCAAATTTAAGCCTCAGCAATTTAGCAACACATTGTATCAAAATAAAAACTAAAACTGCTGGAGATGGGGCTGGGGCTGTAGCTCAGTGGCGGAGCACTTGCTTAACATGTGTGAGGTACTGGGTTAGAACCTCAGCATCACATATAAATAAACAAACAAAAAAAAGCATTCTGAACATACGCAACTACAAAAAGATGGAGACGGAGCACAGTGGTAAAGTGCCCCTGGGTTCAATCCTCAGTACCAATAAATAAATAAATGAATAAATAAAACCTGCCAGGCAGGCCAGCCTGCTAGAAATTCTGGCAAGAGTCTATATTACTTAGGCCTCAAGGCATTCTGGAGGTATAATTCCCTCCTCTGAGGAGAACTTCAGTCTTTTCAGTCAGTCCTTCTACTGATCGTGTGAGGCCCACTCACATTATTCCATGTAGTCTGCTTTAGTCAAAGTCATCTGACTTAAATGTTAATCACATCTAAAAAAGTACCTTCAGAGCAACATCTAGACTGGCATTTGAACGGCCCGCCCTATAGTGTAGCTGAGTTGATCACATAAAATTGACTGTCATATACGTATCTTCAACTCCAGCCTTGGGTTGTGTTTGTTGTTGAAACAGGTTCTCACTAATTTACTGAGGCTGGCCTTGGAGTTGTGATCCTCCTGCCTCAACTCCATTCATGCCTCTTAAGAACCTTTTCCTGGGGCTGGTGTTGTGGCTCAGTGGTGGAACACTCACCTAGCACACACGAGGCTCTGGGTTCCATTGTCAGCACCACATAATAATGAAATAAAGGTATTGTGTCCACCTACAACTAAAAAATATTAAGAGAGAGAAAGAGAGAACCTATTCCTGCAGGCATGGTGGCACATGCCTATAATCCCAGCAACTTGGCAGGCTAAGGCAGGAGGACTACAAGTTTGAGGCCACCTCATAAACTTAGTAAGGCCCTGAGTGATTCAGTGAGACTCTGCCTTAAAATGAAAAAGGACTACAGTTGTAGCTTAGTGGTTGAGCATCCCTGAGTCTAATTCCCAGTACTGAAGCTAGAGGGAGGGTTTTGAAGAGACCAATAACCTTTCCTCTTTATTTAACCCATAACTTTCCAGTCACTGTGACCATTTTCAGTCTAAGCTGAGTAACCCTTTCTCTTCTCCCAGGCCACTTTCTAGTCCTATAGGAGGCATTGCATGGTCCATCTGCTTTGGAGAAATAAGATGTTTCCCTAGTGTAAACCCTTGGAACTTTGAGATTTCCTGTTGTGTCTTACTTGTAGGCATTGGGAAGAATGTGGTTTGTGAAAAGGCAGCAACATCGATAGATGCCTTCCGGATGGTGACAGCTTCACGCTACTACCCACAGCTGATGAGCCTGGTGGGGAATGTGCTGCGGTTCCTGCCTGCTTTTGTGCGCATGAAACAACTGATTGCAGAGCACTATGTAGGTGCGGTGATGATCTGCGATGCCCGCGTATACTCAGGCAGCCTGCTCAGCCCCAGCTACGGCTGGATCTGTGATGAGCTTATGGGTGGAGGGGGCCTGCACACCATGGGCACCTACATTGTGGACCTGCTGACCCACCTGACTGGCCGGAAAGCCGAGAAGGTGCATGGGCTGCTCAAGACCTTTGTGAGACAGAATGCTGCCATCCGTGGCATCCGGCATGTAACAAGCGATGACTTCTGTTTCTTCCAGATGCTTATGGGTGGTGGGGTGTGCAGCACAGTGACACTCAACTTCAACATGCCAGGTGCCTTTGTGCATGAAGTCATGGTGGTCGGCTCCGCAGGACGTCTTGTTGCCCGGGGAGCTGACCTCTATGGGCAGAAGAACACTGCCATGCAAGAGGAGCTGCTTGTGAGGGACTCCCTGTCTATGGGTGCAGGACTGCCAGATCAGGGGCCCCAGGACGTACCACTACTCTACTTGAAAGGCATGGTCTACATGGTACAGGCCTTGCGCCAGTCCTTCCAGGGACAGGGCGACCGCCGTACCTGGGATCGTGCTCCAGTTTCCATGGCTGCCTCATTTGAGGATGGGCTATATATGCAGAGTGTGGTAGATGCCATCAAAAGGTCAAGTCGATCGGGGGAGTGGGAGACTGTGGAGGTGCTGACAGAGGAACCTGATGCCAACCAGAACCTATGTGAGGCACTTCAGCGGAACAATCTATGACCTCTACATGGGCTCCCTGCCACAGAGCAGAGGGGCCAGGGGTGAAACCAGAACTGTGATGGGGACTTGGCCATAGCAAAGACAGTATCATAATCAGCTCGGGCTAAAACTGGGAGACAATTGAAGGGGCCCAAGGAAGATGACTTGTCCATCTGCTCATTTACTTCTCAAGACTTGAAGAGTACCATGTGCCCCTACTGCCATGGCCTAGGCTTGCACAGTGTCAGGGCAGAATTGCTACCAGGCCTCTTCATGGTTCTGCTAGTGAGCAGGGCCAGCAAAAGCCTGACTTGTGGGCCTGATCTCTGATCTGACAGGATAAGAAAGCCCAAGAAACCAGCTTGGCTAATGCCAGAGGATAAATGACAAGGAACTTTGTTTCCATGCCCTTCTGGGCCAGGACATCTCAGGAACAGTAAGGGCAGTAAGTCGTCCTTCAGGGATCCTCACCTGCCCTTCCATGCAGCCAGACCCTTCTGGCCTCCAGGCTGACCCTTCCTGCATGGAAGAGGGGTTGCTATATTATATGAGCTCTGGGGCTGTTGACCTAAGGAAAAGGGCCCATGATTTGGCAGAGAGAAGACAAGGGGGAGCTGTAGAACATCTGATAAATATCAATAAATAAATCGGAAAAATGTGACACCATGATTCGTGGGTTTTGATTGGTGATTGGGGTTCTTTAATAATGAAAGATTTGTTTATTGCTATAGTTTTTATCTTTCCTCATGACCCATAGCAGCTCTGAGCCTGCCATGGATTTATCACCATCTACTGAGCCACAGAGGTTTCTGCCACTGCCTGCCCTTGTCTCCTGCTTGTTCCCTCATGGCCAGGTCCCAGGAGTCCTCCAAAGAAAAGTGTTTTCTCAACAGGTACACTCCTGTAATCCCAGCCATTCAGCTGAGGATTGAGGCAGGAGGATCAAAATCTAGGGCCAGTTGGGGCAATTTAAAAAGTGTTTCCTCAGAAGACAGTACACAAGTCTTCCATTAGGGGGTGCAGTTGAGCCTTGTGTTTCAGGCAGTCAGGGCACGTGCCTGTAGCCTCCTTGGCTTAAGGCCTGGAGGGATTCTGTTCTTCCAGCCCCATGGTATGGCTCCTGGAGAGGCAGGAGCTTGAGGAGGAAGGGACCTCTGCTGCCTCTCAGAGAAGGTTTGGCTAACACTGCTTAACCCATCTGTACAGTCACTATCCATGTGTATGACTTTGTTCCTTTTTAGCCATGTCTGCCCCTTTATTTCCTTTGCCAGCCTGCTAGATGTGAAGCCTGGACAAACTTTTCCCTTCTCTAGCCTTCCTCCCTGTTCCCGCCCTGGGCTTCTTGCCAAAAAGGCGCAAGGAGTTTTGCTTCTTCCTCTTGGCACCCCTTATAGAAGTCACCAGGCCTGTTTTCCTGTAGTGACCTGCTTTCAGACATTGTCCTTGTGAGATAAAATAACAAGGGTTAGTGTTGGAGTAATCTTATGGCATGCTGGGCCCCCAAGGTAAACAACTCATGCCTATTATTTCAACTCCAAACCACTCTGTGAAGATTTAGTAGGCCCATTATTCAGATCAGAAAACAGGCACAGTGGGGTAAAGTTACTGCCTTCCTGTAGATTTTAAGAAATGGAGCCAGGAGTATCTGCATTTGAGAATCTTAACTCACAATCCCAAATGTGTCCCTCCTGGAGCAGGAGTCTCAACCTATCCTGAACTAGGGGGTGAAGAGAAAGCCCACCATTAGGCTGATAGTTAATTGTCCCTGGGACTCAGCTCAGCAGGTCAGTCACTCTGGGTATTACTGGGGTGTCCAAGTCCCTCCTAAATTTGGGGCTTGACCAAGAAAACATAAGATGCTCATACATAAGAAAAGTCCATGTTGCTGACCCAGAGTGGCCAAATGTTGGTTTTGGAGGACTGCTGTTTACAGAGACAGATTCCCAGAAGTGCTGGGGCAGATTGCATTGAGCCTAGTGTAGAGCTGCTTTTGTTTATTTTAATTTGGGGGGGTTGTAGATTGATTCAGTACCTTTATTTATTTATTTTTTAGTGTGGTGCTGAGGATCGAACCCAGTGCCTCACACATGCTAGGCAAGCACTCTAGCATTGAGCCACAATCCCAGCCCCTAGAACTGCTTTTATGAGACTCCAAGTTCTCTGAGGGAACCCCCCATCACCCTATCCCCCTGACATTTTTCCTTCAGTATGGGGGTCTTTACTACTGAGCTACATCCCCAGGTCTTTTTATTTTTTTATTCTGGGACAGGGTCTTGCTAAGTCACCCAGTCAGGTCTCAAACTTGCTGTCCTCCTGCTTCAGCCTTGCTAGTCACTAGATTATAGACATGTGCTCCTGGGCCTAATCCTCCTGACATCTTCACCATCGTGTACCTCTTGGGCATCATAGCTCACTGGTTCCACTTTAGGAATAGGGAGGAGAATTGAGCCTGGAAGTGGCCCAGATGCCTATGATCAATGGATCCCATGGGTGAGCAGAGCCCAAACTGGCTCCTGGCTTGTCCTGCAGCGCCCCCTCACGGAGGAAGGTAGCAGCATCTCCTAGGACCTGAAATTTGATTCCCAAATTTTGGAAAGCTCCCAACACTTCTTAGGTCAAAGTAAAGTTTTTACAAGCTCAGTGAAAATTCATCTTGTCCCCTCTGAATCAACAATCAGAAGATAACTTACAAAATAAGTTATCTAAGATAACAGTCACCAGCCTCCAAACAAATCTAGGCCTCACATTCACTAAGACCTGGCAGCTACTTCCTCACCTTCCTGTCCTGTCTCTTTTCCATTCTTTTCTTCACACTGCTGCCCATTTGACCTCTCCATAATGTCAGGCCAAGGACCCTGTTTGTCTGTACTCCTCTTTGTCACCCCCCAATTTGGCCAGTTTGGGCCCCTGATGTTCATGTGCTGTTTCAGCCACACTGAGCAGCCCTCCTGCATAGAGCTGACATCTTCCACACCAGCGTAGCTTCATTCCTGACTTTTCCTTGGCCTGGAAAGCACTAGCTCTCTTCTTCAGGAGTAACTGGAGGGCCACCTGATTACTACTTCTCCCCTGATTACTACTTCCCTAGGCAACAGTGGCCACCCCATTATCTGTGGTCCCTCATTTCCCCTTGAATCATGCTATCTCAGCATTTCCCCCTTAGAGTGAGCTTCTAGGAGCAGCAGTAACTTCTCCCTTCCTGTGGCTCCCATTACCCCTGCTTAGAACAGTTCTTTTCTAATCATCATTTCCTCTTTCACCTGTGGGGAAATGAGCAGAGCTTCCTTATCAATGCTGGTCTTGACCATACCACCAGCCCCAAAGACCACCGAGAATAGATGCTTGGCCTTCTTAGATCAGGCCTAACCAGAGAGCCAAGTCCACAGATTTTGTAGAACTCAGAGGAAGGCAGAGAGCCTCACAGGCTCCAGCATGTGATCTTACTTCCTTTTTTAAAAAATTTAGTTGTTGATGGATCTTTATTTTACTTATTTGCATGTGGTGCTAAGAATTGAACCCAGGGCCTCACACATGCTAGGCAAGCACTCTTCCACAGAGCTACAACTCCAGCCCATGTGGACTTACTTTCAACATGTGCAAGAACACTTCCCTGCAGGCCTCTGCTTCCTCAGCCATAAAGTGAGGTCAACCTCAATTATCTAGCTCTGAAATACCCTGAAGAATCTGAGTTCATCTCTATGGATGAGATTCAGTCTGTGTGGGCCCTATGGACAGTATCACCTTGGGGTGGGCAAAATACAACCCAGGGAAATCTAAAGATGAAAAGAGAAAGAAGTGTCCAGACCTCATGGCTTGCCTATGACTTTGCAGTGGAACAATTGAGTATCCAAGTGACCCTCCCAAAGGAGGGAACAGCCAGGAATAATGCCAAGAAAAAGAGCCATGCCCATTTTCATCCTGCCTGGGCCTGCCCACTCAGCCTCCTCTGATAATCATGCTGACCATTATTCCAGAGTCCCAACACATTGTTGTGTAATTCAGATAGCTTAATTCATTCAGATTCTGACCTATCCTCTCCACAGCCTCCTCCAACCCCTCAATGGTCTCCCCATCTTTGGTACCTTTTATGGGGGTTGTCTGATAGGTGGATATGATTCAATGATGTGTGTCTTTGGGGAATTCCCAGTTCAGTTGCAAAGACAGTTATAATCCACAGTTTCAATAGTATACAATGCAAGGCAACATTGCCTGCTGCCTGGCTCAGCAGAAAGAGGGTACCCAAATTGTCAAGGATCATGTGTGCACTAGCCAGACGGATGGGTTAGGGAATAAAGGCTTCTTAGCAGGAAAACCCCATGTGCAGAGAGTGAAAGTAAGAAAAGGTGTGGCTGACCAGGGAGTTAGAGACATTGGGAAGTTTCAAGGCAGCTGGGGCAAGAGGAGAAAGGTGCTAGAGGGACAGTGACACCATCAAGGGCGCAGAAGTGTGAGGCAGGGTCACTGTATAGATCCAGCTGTGGTAATGGGTGGGAAATATTTCAAAGCTGCCACTTAGGGCAGGTAAATGAACCTTTCCACCCAGGAATACCATGTGTTGGTCCCCTTGAGGTCAGGCTAAACACAGGCCCTTCCCTGAGAGACAGCAGGGCCAAATGCCTGCTTCTCATGACCTTTTTTTGTGGGGAGGGGATACTGGGGATTAAATCCAGGGTACTTTACCATTAAGCCACATCCTCAGTCCTTTTTATTTTTTGAGACAGGGTCTCACTAAGTTCCTTAGAGCCTCACAAAGTTGCTGAGAATGGCTTTGAACTTGCAATCCTGCCTCAGCCTCCCACGCCTCTGGGACTACCAGTGTGTGCCACCATGCCCAACTGCATGACCTTTTCTCTGCCTCAGGTTCCTTCCCCACTCCCTCTTCATTCCCCACCATTAGCCTACCTGACCCTGATTCACCTGGGGAGACTTAAATACACAGAACTGGGCCCTTTGCCTGTCCAAACCCACTTCTTGTTCAGGCCTAGGATGGTACCCAGGAATCTCATTTGTCAGATGACATGGCCCCTGGTAATCCAGATGACTGGCCCAACTTCAAACTGCACAGGTGAGTCCTTCACCCTTCTTCACAGCCTCTTTCTTTCCCTAATTCAAGCATCATATTTGGGGAATTGGTCTTAGAAAAGGAAAAATGTTTATTTTTCCAAGTTCTCAAATGGGAGCAGGGGCCAAATTCCCCCCTCCATCTAGCCCTCAGGCTACAGCCCTGGGTCAGGCCTGGAGAATGGGAACACCCAGTGGGTGAAGTCACTTGTACTGAGGGGAGAGTGGGGGCACAAGGGGAGCAGTGCAGACACTCAGCATCTTGTCGATATCCACCTGGGTTGACTTATCCACCTCTGCCTTGAGGTGACCACTCATCCCCAAGCTGGGCAAAACCCCAAGCTCCACTCCAGCCTCCTCTCCCAGGGGAGCCAAGGCATGAGTGGGGGAAACTAACACATTGGAATAGGGCAAAGGGAGACCTAAGCCCAGCTCACCTGCCACAGGGAGCAAGGCCTGCAGCTGCTCCACACCTGCCTCCTCAGGAACCAGGGCCAACTCTGACTCAGGCTCTACCTCAGCCTCCCTGTCTTCCTCCCCTGCCTGGTTCAGCTCAGGGTTGCAATAGTTGATATACTGGTACAATGGCCGGAGGCGCTGAGCTTTTCCTGCAAGGACCCGGGGCAGGACAGGGGCTGGAGCGCCAGGCTGTGCAATGTCAGCTCCAGCAAGCAGGGAAAGAAGGGAAAGCCCAAGGACTGCCACTCACGCTCCAGCCCCAGGGTCTCTGGGGGTGCAGACACAGTGCTGGCTATAGCTGGAATCATGGGAGCCCCCAGACTTTTGCGTTTCTTGGCTTTTTTGTGCTGTTTGGCAGATGGTGAGGGTTCATTCTGACAGCCCTCCAGCTCCTCTCTCTGCAGCAGCATCCCTGGTGGCAGCTCAGCTTCAGTCCTAGGATGGGCATGGTAGCTAGGTCCTGGGAGGCTGGGAGACTAAAGTTGGGGACAAGAGGCCTGAGAGGCAGCCTTCAGCCTCTGGCTCCTTTGCCTTGAGCCTAGGGACTAGCCCTGCCTATCCCACCAACCCAGGACTATAAAGCTATCCCTTTCTTGGTCAATGAAATCCCAGGCCCAATAGGGTCCCAGCACTTATGTGACCTCATTCCCCTTCAAGACATGGAGGTTCCATCTCTCCTGGTGCTGATGCTCCCTATGCCAGAGCTCTTGAGGAACAGAATAGGCAGAGTGATGATAGTGGCAGGGAACAAGAATCTGCCCCACAGACGTACAGGATTTAGGAATTCTCCAGGGGTAAGTTTGAGGCTCAACCCCATCCCTGCAGTTCCTTCCCTCTGAAAAACCTCCTCACTTGATCGGTTTCCTCTTCAGTCCATGACTGGGCCCCACGATGGAGGCCCCAAGCCTGGGGCCTCTCCCATCTCCTGCCTCTGCCTCAAGCACTTCTTCCTCCAGCTTGATCCCCTCCTCCTGGAGCTCTGGCTCTCTGCAGTGTCCTCTTGGACACACGTCTTCACCCTGGGTACTGCAGGCCTCATAAGCTGGCACTGGGCACTGGTCTCCCATCATTGAGCACTAGAGGCAACACATAGGTAATTAGTTGCCATGGCCAAACAAAAGATGTAGGAATCAGTCATTCGATGCCCAACATCGGCCCCCAAACACCGGAGAAAGGGCACCAGCCCGGGCCCCTCCACTGTAAGGCCTGAACTGGCAGTTAGGGGGTCAGATCACTCAAAGTTCGGCCCTCAGAGCACCGTGGCCAAATGTTTGAAGGCTGATGGCCAGATCATCAGGACCATCACCTCAGGGCTCTGAGCATGATTAACTGGTGCCTCCACAACCTGGACCAGCCCTGCGACTGTCCCCTCTGGGGCCCCTGGCTTCCTCTCGGCCCCAGAGGCCATGGCTTCGATGGGTCAGAGCATTCTCGACGGTTGCTGCGGTAGGAGAGCGGGCGCCCAGGGGCTGGACTGGTGGACCCTGTGTTGACTGAGGAACCCGCCAGGCGACTAGAGCCTAGCCTAGCTCCGAATGGGACTGAAGGCTGTTCCGCCCACTCGGCTGGAACTACAAGCCCCAGAAGGCTTATCGCCAGATCATTGACCCCTGACCTCAGAGATGGAAAGCTATTTGTTGCCTGGCAACAGCAACTCCCGTCAGGTTGCAGAAGCTGGCAGCAAAACTGCTCAAGTGAGCCCCCGCGGGGGGCGTGCGGAGAGGGACAGCGAACCCGCAAAGAAGTGGGCTAAAATCGGGGTCGCAAAGGCAGCAAGGGTAGGCCGGGCCATGAGCGCGGAGGGAGCTGGGGGAGTGATTGGAAGTGGAAAGCACGGCCTGGCTGCAGGGTCTGGTTGAGGGAGGAAGCACCGGGGTAGGGAAAGGGGTTCCGGCGGGAGATGCGCAGCGTGGCAGGCCTCGGTGCACCGTTGCAGGGCGTCGACCGCAGCATGTGCGAAGGCCCGTCCCGCATCTCGGGGCCCATTCCCCCAGATCCTACACTCTGCCCTGACTACTACCGGCGACCCGCCTCAGGTGAGTTGGAGCGTGCCGAGTGTGCCGCGGTGGGGCGAATTCCCCACTCCATAACTGAGCCCCGCACTCCACCCGGTCCCACCTCCTAGCCCAAGGACGCCTCGAGGGAACCGCTTTGAAGCTGGACCTGCTGACCTCGGAACCTGATTTGGACGCCGCCCCTCCCCGTGGCCCCCGCATCAGGCCCGGAGCCCGAGAAATCCTGGAGCGTAGCCAACGAGGCGTGGGGGACGTGCTGCTGCAACTGGGAGACATCTCCCTCGGTCCAGGAGCTTCTCCCAAGAGTAAGTCCCAGCCAGAAAGAGCAGCAGTTGGAGATCAAAAGTGGAGATCTAAAGGGGCTGCTCCTTCTTCCCTGACCTGGACGCTGGCTTTGCCCCTGTAGATCTGTTTCCCCAATATAAAAGGAGTAGGAAATGAACTACCTCCTCGAAGGAGTGGACTGAATGAGATAGTCCCAGGAAGTCCTAGCTTCATGCATTCATGCATCAATGGAACACTTTTAAACAGGATTCATATAGATACTAGGAAAACAAAATCAAGGACAAGTGTGGGTCATCATAAAGTTAAGGTGGGAGGCAATAAACAAGAGATAAGTGTAATATGCGAGATGATTAATGGTATACTTCACTATAAAAATGTAAAAAACTGGGGTGGAGATGTAGCTCAGTAGTAGAGTGTTTGCCTAGCATGTACAAGACCTCAGGTTTGATGTCACAAAACAATAACAAGTTAAAAATGTAAAAAATAACAAAGAGATAATGTACTATGTTAGGAAGGAAAGGCATAAGTTGATGCGATGGAATATGTGTGTGCGGTCTAACCCAGACAGGAGAGCCAGGGATATCTTTGTGCAGGAGGCAGGGTATGGGCCTATATTGAGATCTAGTTTAAGTTGGGTTGCATGGGCCATACATAGAGCAGAGCATGGCAGCATATTTTCTCCAGGGAAGGACCCTAAAGACCATGAGAAGGAAAATCTGAGGCGGATCAGAGAGATACAGAAGCGCTTCCGAGAGCAAGAGCACAGCAGGGAGCAGGGCCAGCTCAGGCCCCTGAAGGCACTGTGGCGGTCACCCAAATATGACAAGGTGGAGTCCCGACTCAAGGCCCAGCTGCAGGTATCTGTTTTAGGGAGCCAGAAATATTGTCTTTGTTGGCCAGCAGGCAAAATTATACTGTGATCTGAGTTATGGGAAGAGAAGAAATCACAGAGAATTAAGATAACAAAGTATTAAGGGACAGCTGGTACTGCTGCAGGCATATCTGGAGTCTCTGCAGAAGTGGTAATGGCTGGACTAACCATGAGGGTCCAGTAGGAATTAGGCAAGGGAAGTGGGGGAGAGAACATTCCATAGAAAGAGAACTTTACAGGTAGATGTTCTGAGACTAGATGGTGAGCAGTGGGGATCCTGGGTACAGTTCACTGTGAGGGGGAAAAGTATAAGTTTAAGCCAAGAAGTCAGCTGAACCCACATCTGAAAGGACCACCTAAGCTACTTTCCAATGTTTTTGTGTGTGTGTGCATGTGTGCCATGTGGTTGTGTTGAGAATCAAACCCAGGGTCTCATTCATGCTAAGCATGTGTTTTACCACTAAGCTATACCCCCTGGTCTTTCAACATTTATCTGAGGATAGTAGGGAGGGCAGGGGCTGGGACTGGGGTATGGTGGCCCCTGTATTGGGTAGGCACCATTCCTCTAAGAAGGAGGAGAACTGAGAGAAAAGACAAGGTCACATAAGGATATATTGAAGCTCAGGCATCTGTGGGACTCCCAGGGGGTGGGAGTGTGTCCAGGAAGCAGATGGATGCTCAGGTCTGGATCTCAGGCATGAGATCCAGGAGTTATTGATGAGCAGGTTGAGAACAATGAGACCAAGGAAGTGGCCCTATGGATTTGAGGGCTTGGAAGCCAGCCCTCAATGACCTTGGGGGGCTGAAGCTTGCCTAGGAGGGAGAAAAAAGTGCTAACTGAACCGAATTAGAATGAAATATAGTTTGTTTCCTTAAATGTAGAAGAGACCCCCATGTTTAAATGCTAATAAGAAGTGGTCCTTTAAGAAAGAAAAGGCCCTGGGCTGGGGATGTGGCTCAAGTGGTAGCGCGCTCGCCTGGTATGCGTGCAGCCTGGGTTGGATCCTCAGCATCACATACAAATAAAGATGTTGTGTCCGCCGAGAACTAAAAATAAATATTAAAAAAAATTCTTTCTCTCTCTCTCAAAAAAAAAAAAAATAAGAAAGAAGAGGCCCTATAGGGATGGGGAGAGAAAAATCCTGAAAGGCCAGAAGGCTAGAGGCATACCCTTGTGGTTTGAGACCCTGACATCAGCCTAACTGATTCCTCTGCTATGTCCTGCCCTGCAGGAGCCTGACCCCGCCTCTGCAACAGAGCATGCCCACTTCCTGCGGGCACACTCCCGCTGTGGCCCTGGGCTCCCACCACCCCGTGTCCAGCTAACCCCACCAGGACCCAAAGCTAAGGTGAGAGGATATGTGGGAGCTAGGAGGTGGTTGGGCAGGAGTCCTGTGGGTGGGGGTACAAAAGTACAACACAATGCTATTAACCCCCACCATTCTTGCCATGTCCTACAGGGATCAGGCCTGAGTGTGGATTTCATTAGTCACAATGCCCAAGCTGCCAAGAGGGCCCCCCGGCGCCATTCCCGCTCACTGCAGGCCCTGGCACAGGTGCTGGAGCAGCAACGTCAAGCCCAGGAACACTACAACACAACACAGAAGGGCCATGTGCCTCTTTAGTAGGTCTCAGTGTCCAACACCCTGGGTGAGGGGCATCTATGGAGGGTGGGAATCAATTGCCTTGGTGTCCTCAACCCTAGGCCTGTGTATCTACAGCTTGTTGGAGCGCAGGGATATGTGGCGGCGGGAGGCTGAAGCCCGCCAGCATAGCCAGCCAGACCCTGACATGCCCCCTGGTCATACCTGCATGCCTGAGAACCAGCGGCTGGAAACACTGAATAGTCTGCTCCAGAGTGAGTACTTGGGCAAGCGGGGCAGGATGGGGAGCCCACTGGGAACCATGCACCTCTGCCCAGTACTCACTGTTCCTGGGCCCCTGTAGGCCAGAGCCAGCTGCTGCGTGAGCTAGTACTGCTACCTGCCGGGGCAGACTCGCTGAGAGCCCAAGGCCACCGTGTTGAGCTGGACCGGAAGCTGGTGCAGGTAGAAGAGGCCATCAAGATCTTTTCCCGGCCCAAAGTCTTCGTGAAGATGGATGCCTGAGCCCCTTTGTTGGAGCAGTGGCAGGAAGATCCACACTGAGGATTGCCACATGGCTGCAAGAGGCAACAGGCCCGGTTATACAGCAGAGGTCCAAAAAGAGGAGCTTTCTGGGCAGGCAATATACCCAGAGTATTCTTCCCAGCTATCTGTGGTTGTAGAAGGGCCATCCCAGCCTTTAAACCCTTTTGACAAAATTAAACCTTTTGTACACAGTGGGGTTTGTTTCCATAAAAGTTTTGTTTGGAGGGAGGACTGGGGATTGAACCCAAGGTGCTAGGCAAGTGCTCTATCACTGAACTATATCAACATCCCTTTTTATTTTATTTTGAGAGAGCATCTCAGTAAGTTGCCCAATCTGGCCTTCAATTTGCCATCCTCCTGAGTCACTGCAATTATAGGCATGTGCCAATAATGTTTGGTCCATAGACGCTTTCCTTACTTCAAAAATGCAAAGCCCCATGACCTTCCTGCTGCCTAACCATGGGAAGGTCTTTCCACTGCCCCTGTCATTCCTGTTTCATATCCAGAGTAGAAGGTAGGCTTATGGGATTGGAGAGGAGGCTGGGACTGGGACACAGAAGGACCATGTCTGTGTTTGTAGAAAACTTTTAATGTTCCTCAGGCTGAGAGGGCCCAATGGAACAAGCAAGCTAACCCCCGCCCCAACCAGGATGTCCCTACCATGTCCCAGCAGCCTAGAATAGAAAAGGGCTGCATCCTTGCCTGTCAGAGGCTGAAGCCGCTACCATCTCCTCGTATGCTACTCCCCCAGCCAGAGCTGGCCTGTTCCTGGCCATCCAGGGAGGGCAGAGAGTTTCGGACACCCGGAAGTAGGCAGCCGGGGTGCAGGTCCCAGCATGGCGGCTGAGACAGCCCATTGGAACAAGGAGGCGGTCGGTTCTCAATGACCAGGTCACTGCTGTCATCATCACTGTCGGGCTCAGCAGGCCCAGGCCCTGCAGAGGGAGGCCGTGTTAGCCGCCCAGATGCCCCTCGCACCACATTATTGCGCTGGTTGGCAGGCTTGACAGTGACAATGAGGTTATGGCTGTTGGCAACCATCATGTCCGTCACTTGGTCCAAGGTCTTCCCAGCCACCTCAATACCATTGACCTCAAGGATCTCATCACTAACTGCCAGCAGCCCTGTACTCTCAGCCAGGCCCCCACGTACCAGGCGGGAGATGAATATGCCTGGAACCCGCTCCAGGCCTTGGGGAGCCACACGCACACTCATGCCATCTCGAATGTAAAAGCCCAGAGGGCGGTCTGAACCATGCTTGTGCAGTCGAACCCTTCGGTGGGTCTCAGGCAGTAGGTCCACATCTATGACTGAGGAAACCTGGCGGAAATCTTGGGGCAGGCTGATTAGCAGGGGTGGCCGGGTGCGCAGGGGTGCCACTGGTCGCAGTAGAAGCCCTTTCCTGCGCCGCTGCAGAGAGTTGGAGGCAAATGCCAGGCCGCTGGAGTCAGCTTCTGCTGCAGGAGAGGGGGATGCTGAGATCAGAGATGCTGCTCTCCTACTTGGGCCCTTTACAGGGAGCAATGTAGCTATTTCCTACCACTTGGAGGTCAGGCCAAGGGCAAGGACTGCAGAAGGTGAAGACTGAGTGCTCTGGGTATGGACTAACCCTTGTAGACCTGCCCGGTCACCCTACCCCACCGAGGCTGCCCACTGTACCCCATTCTCCTCACCCCGCTTCTGCACCAGTAGGCGCAGCGGCGGGGGCCCGCTGGCCAGGGCCCGGTGCAGGCTGTCGTCGTTGGTGAGGGGCAGTAGGTCGCCGTGAGCATCCGTATAGCCAAGCAGCACGTCCAGGCCTGGAATCTGGTGCACTGCACGCAGCAACCGAGAAAACTCCTGGAAGCCGCTCACGGAAGCGCGGGGCAGCGCAAAGCGTCGGAACTCAGCGTCGAACTGGAGGCGGGTGGTGGCGGGGGAGAGAAGACTGGTTAGGACAGGTCTCTTTTTCACACAGATCTAAGTCTGGCAGAAGTAGGGGTAAAAAAGGGCTGCTGCAAAAGCTACAGCGTTGAACCCACACCTCAGTTCCAGTATAAGGGACGCTGTCCAAGGTCTTGTCCCCGCCCTCCACGTACCAAAACCATAGAGGGACTCTGGAGGCTGGCAGTGGAAGGAAGGAGGATGGATAAGGAAAAATAAGCAGAAAAAAAGAATGGGACGTGGAGGATAAAGGACAGAAGTGATGGGGCCAAGGAGCAGGGAAGGAGAAGGAGAGAATTGGGAGTGCCTAGGGCCGGGGGCCGGAGCCGGGGCCGAAGGCGCCCTTACTTTGCTCTTCACCTCGACGATGCTGTCAGGACTGCGCGCCGGAGTCCTCTGCGGCCTGGCCATTGCGGGACCGGGAGGACCAGGGACAGTGCCCCAGGCAGCCCGCGGAGGCGCAGGTGCACAGCCCGGCTGGCCCGCCCGCGCCGCCCCGCCCCTACTGTAGCACTTGCCCCGCCCTCCCATCCGGACCATGACGTCAAGGGGGCAGCGACACAGAGGAACGCGGAGTCCACGTCTCCTAGGAAACAGAGATGTGGGTGGAGAACATTCTTCCTCTGCTCCTACGTCATTACGCTAGGGTTCGCACGTCCGGAAGAGTCTGGGAGGACGGATTTGGCCAATCCGAGAGGATAAAGAGGGAATTGACATTTATTGAGCGCTGTGTACTTTTATTTTCACTGGTCTTACAAGACTAAGCATTTTGTATATGAGGAAACTGAGTCATAATAAACTTCTGCTAAACCCCTCCGGGTCACACGGCGAAGTGGCTTCGAGCCAACTCAAGCCACCACCCTCAGATCTCAGCAGCTTCAGGCCCAGGATCACTCTGCCTGCGAGCCAGCCTTTGGCCCCTTCCTTCCCGATGTCGTGATGAACGGCCCAAGGCCAGATTGTTCCTCAGAGAGATGTCCCGATAAGAATAACTGGACCAGGATGCAGCCCATGCAGCAGAGAGCTACACACAATTTTCCAAACAAGATGCTCTACTACTCACGCGCGGCGCGCGCGTGGGCGGGGCCTCGGTTTTAGGACCCGCCCAACCTCTTCCTCTTCCGATGAGAGGCGGGGCTACGGTGTCCGCGGGAAACCCCAGTCAGCCGCCTTCTACTAGGTTCTGCTGCAGGAATGGCGGGCTTGGGGAACCTGGTCCTGCGGCCCTGGATTCGAGAGCTGATCCTGGGGTCAGAAACACTTTCAAGTCCACGAGCCGGGCAGCTGCTCAAGGTGAGCCCCTAGTCAAGGCCCAGAGCCCGGGTGGGAACCGAGGTAATGGTATTGACGCGGGTCGCTGCCGTCAGGTATTGCAGGACGCAGAGACCCCGGGTCCATCCCACGCGCCTGTTGCCCCTGACGCCGGGGCTATGCTGCTTGTGTCGGACGGGACCCACAGTGTCCGGTGCCTGGTGACGCGCGAGGCCCTGGACACCTCGGACTGGTGAGAGAGACTCCGCCGGGCTCAGGGAGGTCTGAGCCCAACCCGAGAGCAAAATATGATGTTTGAGCCCGAGGTGGGTGGGCTCTCCAGCGGAGAAGGCGAGTCCCAGGCGGATGGGGCTTGTATTCCTAAGGGCTGGTCTTTGAGGGTCGCGCTCGCCCCAGGGAGGAAAAAGAGTTCGGATTCTGTGGAGCTGAGGGTCGGCTACTGCTACTGCAGGTCTGCGGGGTCCGCATCCAGGTCGCCGAGGGCTGCACGGTGAGTGGCAAGGGAAGGATGGGAGGATAACTGAGCCTGGCTTCTCATAACAACTTCTGAGCCTGAGACTTTTACCCCCAACTCACTCCCTTCAGCCTGCAGAGTTCTACCTCCAAGTGGACCGGTTCAGCCTGCTGCCCACTGAGCAGCCTCGGGTACTGGTTACTGGTTGGTAAGTGATGCCTCCAAGGGCTGGTGGTGTAGCTTAGTAACACAGTGCTTACAATGTGTAAGATCCTGACAATCCCAGCACTCAAAAGAAAAAAAATACCTCCACCACATGCATAGGCTTTTGGTCGGGAGGGCTTGGGCCCCCAGTAACACTAACTACTTATTATCCTCTTTCCTTCAGCAACCAGGACTTGGATGTGCAGAAAAAGCTGTATGACTGCCTTGAGTGAGTCTGGGGTTGTTCTCTGGGGCCAAGTGTGGCTGGGTCAGGGGATGGCAGATCTGGAACCTGAGGCCTGTCTACTGTCTTTCTATAGGGACCACCTTTCAGAGTCCACCTGTTCCAATGCAGGTACTAGTAGGGATTGCCCAGTGACCCTAAGTAATTCCCTATGGAGTTTCCTTTCTGTCATCACTGTGCATTTTCAGTAAGTACCCCTACCACCTTATATTTCCTTCCCTTTGATTACTTGGTCTCCTGTCCGCAGGCCTAACACTGTCCCAGCTTTTGGATGAAGTGCAGGAGGACCAGCAGCATCGGGGGGCACTAGTACATCTAGCTGAGAGCTGCCTAGTGCTGACAGGCCCTTGCACAGCACCCCCACTCACCCACTGGGCTGCCTCACGCTGCAGGGCCATGGTTAGTGTCAGGCTTCCCCTGGGAGATGTCAGGGTAAGGAATTGGGCAAAGGCCAGGCTAAGAGTTCACATCCCACAGGGAGAAGCTGTGTACTCTGTCCCCAGCTTGTTGCTGCACATTCCTGAAAATGACCAGCAAATTCTAAGCTCTCTGGGCTCAAGTCAGAAGGTACAAGGTAAGGAGAACTGGAGAGGTCAAAAGAAGAATCTCTAGAACCCAGGGCCCACAGTGCTGATGCACATCCCAAGAACCCCCAGACTGGTTGTGAGTTGTCCCTATCAAAACTGGCTCTGCAGGACCCATCTTTGAACCTGATCTCTAATTCTTCCTCATCCAGTTCCTCAGGGGAGATGGTGCTCAGGCCACAAGCACTCACTGCTGTCAGTAAGGTTCCCAGACTGCACAGGATGCTGTAAAAGTTTGCAGCAGTGATGGGGTGACCACAGACCCTGCAGGCCTGGCTGAGCTCTTGGGCCACTCAGCTGGTCTGAGAGGACTGTACCCATAGTGAGTCTCTTCCTTCCCAGGAACTCCTGCCTTAACCTGTCACATGCCATTGGAGGAAAGCAGTGCCAGCATCAGCCTTCTGCCTGCCCTGCCTTTGGCTGCCCCAGACCTGGTACAGAAGCACAGCTCCCAGTCCCTTCCTGCCATCTGCTCAGCCTCTGGATCCCCGCCCTTCAGTTCCCCACACCCCAGTCATACATCCAACTCCCCACTTCTGAGCTGCACTCCCAGTCTCTCGCCCTTCGACCATAACCCCAGTCCATACCAGGCCCATGTGACCAGGGCCCATAAACTTAGCCTGGAGTTCAGAGAGCTAGGGTTGCCCCACAAGAACCAGCGGTCTTTTCCAAGGACTGGAGCCAAGGGAGTCCAGGAGCCCTGCCCTGTCTGGGTGAGTATTGCCCCTCTGTAATTGAAGAATAGAATGGGGAGGGCCCTGAATAGAGCTGGGAGTTGGGTAAGCGTAGCTTTGGAAGGAATTAGGGGTCCTGTTGATCCCCCCTAGACACCACACTCCTTTCAGGACCCCCCAAAGAGGCATCGTGATGGTTCCACCTTCCAATATGAGTATGAACTACCCTGTGCCTCCCTCTGTGCTCAGGTCCACGCTGTCAGGTGAGTGCCTGGAGCTGCCCTTACTCTGTTATTTTATTTACTTATCCCAGGTTTTTTTTCACATTTACTTACTCTGTTGTTGAGTTTTTTTGTGTTTTGCAGTGCTGGGGATGAGAACCCAGGGCCTCACACTTGCTAGGCAGATGGTCTACTTCTAGGCTATATCCCTAGCCCTGCCCCTACTCTGATGGTCACCAGTTCCGGGCAACCTTGACCTGTAGCCATGGTTTCTTCCCAGGCTCCCTCCCCAACTTGTGGCATGGGCCTTGCACTTTTTGATGGAGCCACCGCCAGAGTCTGAGCTAACTCAAGTGTGAGGAGTCATGCAGGCACATCAGAGGATATGCATGTACAGATCTGTGTCTAGGTGTGGACAAACTTATGTAGTCTGCTTCCTTCAAGTTTTTTAATAAAATAATCTCATGCGGCAAGAGAAGAGAGGATCAGGGGTTGGGGCCGCCGCCTCTTTGGTCTGTGGCTGGGGAGGGTGGGCTCCTCTCTGGGCTAGAGGGCTCTGTGGGCTGTGGGAGCAGAGGCTCGGTTCCAAGGCCAGATCCTGCAAGGGGTGAGTGGAAGAAAGAAAGCATCAGGGCTGGGCTAAGTAGTTCTGCCACTCTCCCAACTGACCCTGGCCCCCTCTTACCTAGGCTTGGGGATGGGGGTGCCTCGAGCTTTGGCCTGCGCTTGAGGACAGGGGAGCGCTGAAGCCTCAGAGGCCGTTCTAAGGAGCACAAAAAGGTTAGCTCTTTGTGCATCCCCAGCCATTTTTCCCATCTGCAGTCATGCAAGAATGCACACACACTCTAAGAAGACTACTGTCTTCAGAGCTTCCCTGTTCCCTGTGTTGTCCTACCCCTTGTAGAGGTTGTTCTTTGGGAGGTAGAGCCAGGATGTAGGAGGGCTTGTCAAACCCTTGCACCTGGCCTTCTGGCTCTTGGATTTCTCCAAGGGCCAGACCACAGAAAACCCAGGAGCCTAGCCTCCCCAATCTCCTGCACTCAAGCACACATGGAGGTGTGTCCCTCACCAGCAGGGGCCTGGAGCTGGTCCTCATGCACAGACACTGCTCGTCGCCCTGCCGAGAGAGGCCGCGGCCTCAGCTGGCCATCTGGGGGAGGCCAGGGTATCAGGATACGCTCCCAATAGTTACTCCCATTCCAGCCCTTCCCTCCCATCTTCAGGGTCTCCAGGGAGACAAGTTTCCAGCCAGGACTCCCTAGGCCCCAGCCCAGGGTTGGGGGTGGTTTGCCTGCCTACCTTCATTCCTGGGGCCCAAGCAAGGGTCCTCTGGGAGGCCCAAGCTGTCTGGGGAGGGGCTGGCTCTGCAGGGGCTTGGGCTGGGACAAGGGGAGGGAGGTCCTGGACCATCCTGTTGGCCCCAACCACGTCCTCTGAGCTCTGCATTCAACTGCTGTCCCAGTGTCTTCCAGGTGGCAGACTCAGGCCCCTGGCCCCCTGGGCCAGGTCTGCATGAGGGGTCTGCAGGGAGAAGGTTGTCAGTCAAGACCTGGTCCAGGTCCTGGAGATGGGTCTGAGCAACGGTCTTACCCCCTCTCTTGCCTGTCCCTGCACCTCCCATAACTCAGAGTGGCCTTTACTCACCAGCAGAGACAGAGTGGGTACGTGACTTCATCGAGATGGGAGGGGTCTCCGTGGAACTGTCCATAATGTCACCTGCAAGTTGGGGCTGGGGGCTCAGACACCAGGCATTAGGGGCAAGGGAAAGAAAAAACTCTGGTCCCTCCCGCTCCCCCAGAAGAGTAACTGAGGTAACAACTATCTTTTCTTTTGTGGTACTGGGGA